CAAGGCAGGAGGATCGCTTGAGTCCAGAAGTTAAGACCAGCCTGGGCAACACAGCATGACCCTGTCTCTATAAAGAAAAAAAAAGAAAATAAATGATTATTCCACTACATGTAGCAGTAACTGAAGAAGTGAATAAATGATGATTCCACTATATATAACAATAACTGTGTTCAAAACAGAGTCCTTGAACACACAGGTGCTCTCTGTCCCAGTGCCTTGGCACCTGCTATTGCCTCTGCCTATCCGTGCTTTTCCACAAGCTTTCATAGAACCTGCTCCAGTTTTCTCCAGTATCCCCACGCTGTTACATTTTTGTGTCACTGATTACCTCCTGGCACCATATGTGTTTATTGTTTGCTTGCATATTGCTTCTCTCCCTTCACCCCACTGGGAGCTTCATAAGGGACATGAATAATATAAGTATTACTACAGATAATGCGAGGAATAGGATACTCATGAGCTCCATGAGTCTTTGCATGTTTATTCACTGCTCTAATTCTAGAGCTTAGCACACAATAGGTACTCAATAAATATTTGTGAATGGATAAGTGAATTAATGAATTAGATGACTACTACTAGGCCTGGTTTGTAGGTCATGCTCAATAAATACTGACTGCAAATTTTTTCAGTGCAGAAACCAGAAGTTCTTGAAAGCGGCACAGAATGAGGTTGAAAACCAAAGGTTCTTGGTGGGAGGATTTTTTTTTTTTCCTTAATATTTAGGATGATGCATGTCACTGAAATTCACCATGGATCAAGCTTGGGCACAGTGCCTGGGATATAAGGAGAGCAGTAAAGATTAAAAAAAAAAAAAAGAAAGGAAAGGAAAATAGCCTCTATTGGCTGTTTAAAGTAAGGAGAGTTGACTTAGGTCAAAAGAAAAGGAAAATGTCCTGGGAATAAAAGTTAAGTATTGTAAGATGCCATTAAAGGGAGTTTGTGGAATCTCCTTTTCTGGAAATGTTTAAAAACAAGATAGATCTTCATCTCTTAGAAGTGTTGAAGTTCAGTCCTGCCCAGAGGCAGGAAGATTAACTGGATTACGCTTGTGTGGTCGGTCTCTAGAGTCATTGGAAGAGCCCTTGAATGCGGTAAATATTCCACATTCTCTTGGTTGAAACTATTGTTTCATAACTGTTCATTTGAAACTTGGCTGTTATAAAACCAGAGTGAATGTTTAACAAAATTGAATTTGGATCTGGGGTTGATGATGTAAGTTGAGTACATCATATATACCTAAATCAGTTTTAAAAGCATTAAAATAAAGTATATATAGTGCCGAAACTATTCAGAACATAACTTAGTCTTTTTTTTTTTTTTTTTTTGGCAAGAGAGAGCATTGCGTACAATTTATTAGTCTTTTATAATATACAAAAGTGCCTGCTTCCCTGCAATATCTTAATGCCATTAATCATTCAATAAGTAATTATAAAGTGACTACTATAAACATTGCAGGCTTCAAAGATGAATTCGATATGGATCCTGCTTTCAGGGAACTTAGTCTACAAGTGGACATAAAATATATATATAGGCCGGGCACAGTGGCTTATGCCTGTAATCCTAGCACTTTGGGAAGCCAAGGTGGGAGGATTGCTTGAACCCAAGAGTTTGATACCAGCCAGGGCAACATGGCGAAGCCCCATCTCTACAAAAAACACAAAAATTAGTTGGGCATGGTGACATGTGCCTGTGGTCCCAGCTACTCAGGAGGCTGAGGTGGTAGGATCAATTGAGCTGATTGAGGCTACAGTGAGCCATGATAGTGCCAGTGCACTCCAGTCTGGGCAACAGAGGGAGACCCTGTCTCTGAATGAGTGAATGAGTGAATGAATGAATGAATGAATGCTATCTCTCACACACACACAGATCATATACATGATAGTGAAAAATAAAATGATTGAGATAGGAGCCATAAAAAAGAACTCAACAGTGTTGTAAGGTTTCAGAGAAAAAAAGATAATTGCTTTGGATTTAAACAAGAATGCTTCTGGGAGGAAAAAACATATCGAACTGGGCCTTAAGGGGTATGATGTATTTTGAAGGGTGGAAAAGAAGGAGAGAACAAGGACAGAGATGAAATTATAGTTAGTAATTCTGAGGTAAGGATAAGTTCCACTGGAGCAAGAGGAAGCTGGGGTTAATAGGCTGGGAGGGCCTTTTGTGGCTAGTCTCAAATGCCAGGCCAGAGAGCATGGATTCTGTATGCTCAGTGCTTAAGATCTCTTGAAAGTGATTAAGCATTAAAGGATCCGGCCCATGGGAGGTTTGTAATTTACTATTTGGACTGCAAGAGACAAAAGGCAATAGCAGTGAGCCCAGGAAGACAGCTACTGAGTCACCTGGGCTGCATTTCCTAAGGGATGTGCTGAGAAGTAGTAGTTCCAAGGCATGTTAATAGATGTTACTCCAAAAAGGGTCTCCTCACCAGAATGAATTGGGAAAATAAAACGTTAAACAATCAAATAGACTTCTTTATGGACTTCTTTTCTGAAAAGTCTCTGGAAGACTTTTCAGAGCCTTTAATATTGAGAATTAGCATTGAGAATCTCAAATAGGATAAAACGTGTACCACTTCCAACATGATTTGATCTTTTTTTATGGATTAGCTCATGAAACTCTGGTTCCTTAGAACACACTTTGGGAAACATTGCTCTACACATTTGATAATAACAGCTGGAACACAAGTGATGGTAATGGGCATGAAAAACAGCAGTTAGGACTGGGTACGGTGGCTCGCGCCTGTAATCTCAGCACTTTGGGAGGCTGAGGCAGGCAGATCATTTGAGGTCAGGAGTTTGAGACCACCCTGGCCAACATGGAAGACGCTGTCTCTACTAAAAATACAAAAATTAGCTGGGCATAGTGGTGCACGCCTGTAGTCCCAGCTACTTGGGAGGCTGAGGCAGGAGAATCACTTGAACCCAGGAGGCGGAGGCTGCAGTGAGCTGAGATTGTGCCACTGCACTGCAGCCTGGATGATAGAGTGAGACTCTGTCTCAAAAAAAAAAAAAAAAAAAGGAAAAGAACAGCAGTTCAATGGGAGTCCTTACAGAGGAAGCACCAAGAAGCACCAGCCATTCCTGGTATATAGGAGACATTCAGTAGCTATACAGAAAGCTAATTCATGTAAGAGTGAATTAATGATTTAATACCAGTAGATGTTGGTGTGGATGCGGTGAACAGGGAACACTTTTACATTGCCGGTGGAAATGTAAACTAGTACAACCACTATGGAAAACAGTGTGGAGATTCCTTAAAGAACTAAAAGGAGAACTACCGTTTGATCCAACAATCCCACTCCTGGGTATCTACCCAGAGGAAAATAAGTCATTATACGAAAAAGATACTTGCACATGCATGTTTATAGTGGCACAACTCACAATTGCAAAATCGTGGAACCAACCCAAATGCCGATCAGTCAACAAGTCGATAAAGGAACTGTGGTGTGTATGGGGGTGTGTATGTGTGTGTATATGTGTAGGTGTGTGTGTGTGTGTGTGTGTGTATGATGGAATACTACTTAGCCATAAAAAGGAATGAATTAACGGCATTTACAGCGACCTGGATGAGACTGGAGACTATTGTTGTAAGTGAAGTAACTCAGGAATGGAAAAATCAAACATCGTATGTTCTCACTGATAAGTGGGAGCTAAGCTATGAGGATGGAAAGGCATAAGAATGATACAGTGGACTTTGCGGATTTGAGGGGAAGAGTGGGAGAGGGGCGAGGGATAAAACACTACAAATATGGTGCAGTGTATACTGCTCGGGTGATGGGTGCACCAAAGTCTCACAAATCACCACTAAAGAACTAATTCATGCAACCAAATACCACCTGTACCCCAATAACTTATGGAAAAAGAAAAAAAGAAAAAACATGAAATTAGCCAGGCATGGTGGCGAGCACCTGTAGTCCCAGCTACCCAGGAGGCTGAGGCAGGAGAATTACTTGAGCCCGGGAGACGGAGGTTGCAGTGATCCGAGATTGCACCACTGCACTCCAGCCTGGGCGACAAAGCAAGACTCCAACTCAAAAAAAACTAAAAATTAAAAAAAAATGAAGAGATACTTTTACATATAAAAGACATGCCAAATAACTAAACATGTAAAATTGCTTCACATCTTTACTTTTCAAGGAAATGCATATTAAAAATACAGTAAGAACCCCCCCATACACCCCCCCCCAAAAAAAAACATGCTTGGCTGGAGATTGCATGCTGAGACAAAAGGGGAAAGGAGTGCAGGATAGGAATATGGAGAGTTTTGAGCTCCAGTATGCTAGAGATGGTATCATGGAAAGCTAGGAGAAGGAACTGCTTTATATGAAAGTTGAGTATTACTTGAGAAGCTGAGGGAGATGGACCTGGAAGGGTCAATGGATGCTGAAACCATGGACTTGTGAGAGAAGACGTTGTTTTTGCTTTTTGTTTTTTCTCATCAGATGTATTGTGGAAAAAAATATCTGGTTAAAGTGTCTGGTTATTTGAATTCTAGATAAATAGCAATTTTCATGTACAATTTATTCTAATACAGAAAGCTAACCATATATTTAGTCTAAAAGAAGTATCATAGGGCCAGGCGCGATGGCTCACACCTGTAATCCCAGTACATTTTGGGAGGCAGAAGAGAGAGGATCACTTGAGGCCAGGAGTTTGAGACCAGCCTGAGCAATAGGGCAAGACCTCCTGTCTGCAACAATTTTTTTTTTAATTGCTCGAGGAGGCTGAGGCAGGAGGATCCCTTGAGCCCAGGAGTTTGAGGCTGCAGTGAGCTGTGATAGTTGCAGCTGCACTCCAGCCTGGGTGACCCTGTCCCCCAAAAAGGAGGAAAATAAGAAATTTTATGGTTAACAAAAGCACCAAACCTGTAGTGATTTTTTTCAGTCAGGCAGTAGTGGCCATCCTTCTCATCTTCACCAGTGATTTTTTTTTTTTTTCAGTCTGATTTACTCATAAGAAGTTAATTAATCTTTAAGCTTAATATTTTGTTCTTTCATTCAGGTATTTGCCTTTGATTATTGCTTTTGGTCCATGGATGAATCTAACACTACAAAATATGCTGGTAAGTTTTCTCCCTCCACACCTGACAGTTGGGCTTCTGGCCTCTTCTTCCATTGAGTTTATTGTCTTTAATTCCTCTGAAGTTTTACTTTTGGTATGTAATTCACACCTATGCTTTCCAATTATACCACATGGGTTTTGAAGTCAATAAGATTTGGTTTCAGAATCTGTGTCTGCCACTTACTTGCAAAATCCTTGAACAGATTTTTATTAAGCTTCAAATTGTTCACCTGTAATGGGGGGTATTGGTGTCTTCAAAGATTTCCTAAAGATTTGAGATAATGGGGGAACCACCTCAAGCCATAAATGGTAGCTTTTGTGAGAGTCATGTGAAAAAAGGTTTCATTTGCCATGCCTTTCCTTATCACTAACTTTCAGGGCATCGCCTGCTCTGTTTTGTGTGTGTGTGTGTGTGTTTGTTTTTGTTTTTTGTTTTTTTTTTTTGAGACAGAATTTCACTCTTGTTGCCCAGGCTGGAGTGCAATGGCACAATCTTGGTGCACTGAAACCTCTGCCTCCCGGGTTCAAGCAGTTCTCCTGCCTCAGATTCCCAAGTAGCTGAGTTTACAGGCATGTGCCACCTTGTCCGTCTAATTTTTTGTATATTTATTAGAGACATGGTTTCACCATATTACCCAGGATGGTCTCGATCTCCCGACCTCAGGTGATCCGCCCGCCTGGGCCTCCCACAGTGCTAGGATTACAGGCGTGAGTCACTGCGCCTCACCCCCTGCTCTGTTTATATAAGGAGAGCACAGGTGATGTGGTTTCCAAAACTCACTCAGGTCCTGAGCGTCCTCAGCTATCAGTGGTCCTGTGAATGAGTACTACATGCTCCTCAGGGAAGTGCTGCCTCTCAGCCCCACATTTTGCTAGGGTTCTCTCCTTGTGGGTTTGTTTGTTTGTTTTCAAAAAAGATGGAGTCTTGCTCTTGTTACCCGGGCTAGAGTCAGTGGCACAATCTCGGCTCCCTGCAACCTCTGCCTCCTGGGTTCAAGCAATTCTCCTGCCTCAGCCTCCCGAATACAGGCACTGGGATTACAGGCACCTGCCACCACACCCAGCTAATTTTTGTATTTTTAGTAGAAACGGGGTTTCACCATGTTGGCCAGGCTGATCTCGAACTCCTGACCTCAGGTGATCCACCCGCCTCGGCCTCCCAAAGTGCTGGGATTACAGGCATGAGCCACCACACCCGGCCTCCTTGTGGTATTTTATCCTCATTTCATCCAACACAAATGACTGCTGTTTTATTATTTATGACCATAGGCTTTCCTAGGAGTCAGTCACAATTGCTTTAGTTCCAGAGGGAAGCATTTGGTTTGGTGGAGGAAGTTGTTGGTTCTTTTGCTTCTGATTATGCCCCCTTTTTCTTAGATGTTTCATCTTTTTAAAAATTTATTTTTCGGCCAGGCATGGTGGCTCACATCTGTAATCCCAGCACTTTGGGAGGCCAAGGTGGGCAGATCACTTGAGGTCAGGAGTTCAAGACCAGCTTGAATAACATAGCAAAAGCCCATCTCTACTAAACATACAAAACTTATCCAGGTGTGGTGGTAGGCGCCTGTAATCCCAGCCACTTGGGAGGCTGAGGCAGGAGAATGGCTTGAGCCCGGGAGGCAGAGGTTGCAGTGAGCTGAGGTCTCACCATAGCCTAGGTGACAGAGTGAGACTCTGTCTCAAAAAAAAATATTATTTTTGTAACTGGCAAATAAAAGTTGCATATATTTATTATATACAGCGTGATGTTTTGAAATATGTATATATTGTGGAATGGCTAAATTGAGCTAATTAACATGTGCTTTACGTCATGAACTTATCCTTTTTTGTGGTGAGAACACTTAAAGTCTACTCTGTTAGCAATTTTCAGGAATACAATACGTTGTTATTAACTATAGTCACCATGTTGTACAATAGATCTCATGAACTAAATATTTCATCCTAATGAGGGTTTTCTCCTTATTTCTACTTATAAGAGCATCAGCTGAATGACGTTCTCATTTAGTTAAAAACAAAAAAAAATGAAGGGAGGGTATTGGCCTTAAAAGATTTGGAGGTAAAAGCATGTGACTGACTTAAAGAGAATTAATGTTTTGTTTATTGATAGGTTTTTCCTTGCCATGAAAAGCAAACTTGAGAAATTATTTGATAACATAATTTTTTCAAGAGTTAACAATTTTGAACTAGGAAAATTCCTTCAGTTGCTCACACTGGGTAAATTAGCCTTTCCAAATACCATTCCTGCAACTTGAGCAATATATTTTATTAAAGTGAATAAGTAGTTCATAATGTTGGTTGTAATTAATTTGTCTTTTTATTAGTCCTTTGGTACTTTATGTGATAAGTTTTCCAGAGTCTGGAACAGTCTTGACTTGTTAGCACTCTGTGTATTTTTGTGCCGGGTGTGTACTTTTAGATTTAAATCAACAACAAAAGTAAAACATTTCCTACAGATGCGGAGACAAATGGGGATAAAAGCTATGGTTTTACAAACCCGTCATTAACCGTGTTCAATTTATGTTATTCAAGATGCAGCCATATATGTCTTCCTGAACTGGAGGTCTTCTCATGTACTTCTCAGATACTTTCCAGGACTCCTCATCACAGGCTAGAAAAAAATCTGTACTCCTTCGACTACATTTGAGGTTCTTTATTATATAGCCCCATTCTACCTTCTCCATCGTCTCTTCTGGGACTCCTCTCACCGCTCATTCAGTACCTCAGCCCAGTGTCTATTGTTGGTTCCTCTTATATAACTCAGGAATCCAGAAAGTCTCACAATAATTTTTTAAATATTCATGACCCCCCCACTACTGTGTGTGTGCAGCCCAGGAAGCCCTTGAGAAATCCAAAAATAAGTTAGAAAGCAAAAGAAGTGCATACCAAATAATATTTTGAGATAATATTTAAACTCTAAATTTTATAGATTTTAAGTGTTACATAAAATCCAAGGAGAGAGAAAATCTGGAGAGGCACCAGATTTTAAAGAGATAAAATCTGGAAAGGCACCAGTTGTCTGGGAAGGCACCGTAGAGGAGATGGAACATAGAGGAGATAAGTATTTGAGAAAACACACATATTAAATAGCCTGATTCAGCCGTTCCACAAGGGATACATATATCAGAACATCATGTTGTATACCATAAATACATATGATTATTACTTGTCAATATATGAGTTGTTTAGAGTTTAGTCAAAGGAAAGCCTAGAAGACATCCAGACAAGAGGAAGCGACATGTATCAAAGAGAACACATGGACTTTGATGTGAGACCTGGGTTTGAATCTCAGGACCTCTGTCTTGGTTCTGTTGAACAATTTATTTAATTTCTCTGAGATACAATTTGTTTTCTATAGAAGAAAGTAAAAATGGCAATACCTATGCTATGTGGTTGCTGTAAGGGTTAAATAGGTCACTTTATGTGGTGATTAATGGAAGGTTCCCGTAAATGATATTTTCATTTAACTTTTCCATAAAGGAAGATGCAGAGCCATGGTGGTAATGCTGGTCTGAGCAGTAGGTATATCTTGGGGGCGGGGTGGGGTGAGGGAAAGCTGCAAAGTTAAAATTAAAAGAGAAAGAAAGGAAGAAAAATAAGAAGGCGCATCTTGTGGGGGATGCTATGGGAGACTGTTTGTACATGTTGAGTGAGGCCAGATGATAGGAAATTCTAAGAACTTTAGACTAATATGGTGAAAAATAGGGGCTATTGGAGTGATGTGGTTAAAATAATGCTTAAGGAAGATTGTCTTTCTCTTTTCCACATCTTCTGGAATCACATCCTCTATTACTGCCCACAGAGAACACTCTAGCCTTCTGCAATATACCACTCATGTGCCTGGATATACAACAAACTTTTTTTTTTTCTCCAAACCAGAAATGACTTTATTACATACAAGTGATAAAATTTAGTTGTGAAACTCAAGATTTCTGTAGCGCTTCATTACAAATAGTTCAGATATATTTTAAAAGATCAGAATGATTTTTAAACATATTGATAGCCTATAATTTAGTAAAATTTAGTAAATTTTAGGCTGCATGATCACATTGAGTACCATGTTCCAGTTAGCCCTGAAATTGGGTTCTGCCAGCTCATAGAGCACTGTCTACTTACAAAATTTGGGAGGATATTTTCTTATTCTTCAGATATTCCCATTATCATACAAATACTATGACGTTCCTCCTCCTTAGCAAAAGGTAAAATTCATGCTTACTATTCTCTCAAGTTTATATCCATTGTAAATAATCTACCTAGTAAATACGTTATATGTAGATTAGTTGATGGTTTCCATACTAATTTATTTTCTCTTTATTAAAAAATAACAATTCCTTCTTAATTGTGAATAAAAAGATTAAGATAGAAGCATTCATTGTCTGGTGGAAAACAGGGGAAGTGGAGAAGGGGAAGCACATATTTCCTGAAACCGACCTATTTGTCAGGCTTGATGAATAATGGCATCATTGATACTGAATCAGGACTCTCAAAGCTGCTCTCAAAACTGGGGAGTAGCAGGGAGAGAGAGAGAAAGATAAGTGCATGGATTGAGAAGGCAAAGAGAAGCAAGGGCTCTAAGTTTTGTGTGGTGTGTCAAAATGGTAAATTCTCCATCATGTCTTGCTATTTATAAAGCTATAGGAAGAGCCTCCATGCTCCCACTTTCTGATTTAGAAACACGTAATTCTCTAGTAGGTATAATGCATTGCAGTGGGTTGGTTGGAGCAGTTGAAGAATATGAGCTCTTAAGTCAGACTTGGTTCAAATCCTGGCTGTAACACCTTCTATTTGTGTAAGGCCGGGTGAGTTACTGAATCTCACCATCCTTCTGTTTCCTCATATGGTAAATAAGGATACTAATAGTTCTGATCCCATAGGGTTGATTTGAGAACTAAATGATGTATTGATTTAAAGTGCTTAATCTAGTAAGTACCTGGCTACTTAGGAAGTAGGAAGCACTCCCTTAATATTTATCGTCGTCTTTATTATTGTCTCACTGTGACAGGA